CCCTCCCCCCCCCAAGGGTGACTCACTCGAGCCCAATCCATGCACCCGATGCAACTAGAAAGACTCATCCCCGGGAGTCACAGGTTCAGTGGTTTGGCTCGTCCCAGCCAGTGAGTGGAGGTAGGTGACAGGGGCACCCCAACTTCCTCCGTTCGTTCGGCACCCCGTCGAACGTGACTCCTGGTCATTCCTCATCTCCTTTTGCCTCCTCTACGGCCCAGCAGTCGCCGAGCAGCGCCGCCACGGTCTTGGACGTGAAGCGCGCAGACTCGTCGTGCACGGTGAGGGTGGCCTTCGTGGGCAAGGGGTACTGCACCTGCGGGAAGCGTTCAGCTTGGTGGAAGGGATGTGGTTGAAGAGTGGATAAGGTTCCACAGCATATATCATATATTTACAAAATATTTCGTAGAATCATACAGTTGGAGGCTGATGTATCAGTGAGCTGTTCCTCTTTTAGGAACATATGCGCGAATCGAAGTGCTGTGTTTACTCTTTAAACAGTCCAGGATCACAAGAAAACATCCTCAAAATCCAACGATTTCAAGCACTGGCATGACTGCGCAAGGAAAAGGACACAACAATAGCTATTCCTAACTAAGCTATATACCAGGACCCTCCAAGGGGTGCCCAATGGAAGCCTATAGGTAGTGTGGAGTAGTCCATTGGACACCCCTTGGAGGGTCCAGGTACAGTAATCCTTGGAACAAATCAGATTGTCATGTGATACGGATTGCTGTTACCGTGTCGGTGGTGACCCGGTGCATGCTGGCTTGGTAAGTCCCAAATCCCGTGCTGAGAAACTCACTCTGAAGGACATGGAAGGCGTACTTCGCCCCCTGTTTGACCGTCGTCTTCGGAATGAACAAGACTGTCCGCAGCGTGTCCGCGGCGGGCCTGAAAGGTTCCATCCGGAGGTAAACCGGCCGGCACCTGACGGTTTCGACGGCGGGTGTTCGGCTGGGGTGCATTCAGTTTCGACCACCGTTGGTGGGTCTTGACCATGGGCCATGGCGGCCGGGAGCTTCATGATGGCCGGGAGGCATGGCTGAAGAAGAAAGAGGTTGAAGAACCCTATGGACTATCCTATAGGTACCCCTGTAGGGTACTATAAGGTCACTTCACCTCTGTAGGAAGAAGAAAGAACTTCCCTTCCAAGTCTTTAAGGGAAAGACCGGTCGTGAACGTTGCAGCCACGATCGCCCAGTCGCTACCCCAAAGGATCAATTGTCAGTGGATATCGGGTTGGTCAATTCTTACAACACACTGAAAATCTCCGAAAAGCATCAGGGAGCTAGGGAAGTCAACAATCTTATAAAAGCTGATTAGAGGCTTCACCAAGGTCATGGAAACTGACCAAAGGAGCCATTGAAGTTGCCGGGGTGAAAGCATTCCAAAGCAGGAGCCATCCGAAAAAAAAAACACAAGCAGGGAATGCTTTGCAAGAGACTGGAAGAACAAAAACACCATGCATCAACCTCAGGGTCACTGTCACTTAGACATGATGTTTATAGCTGAAAAAAGTGGAGCCGTTCAGTGTGCAGTACAGAACCATTCATCGCCAAGGCTTGAATCATCCTGCTAGGGAGTGACAGTGCTGCAGTCAAGTCAAGCAGCAATCCAGCGCCTTCTACTACGACTTCCAGCACCACTCAACCGGAATATATTTCGAGTTGCTAGAATGCTAGACCCCTCCCTAACGTGAACGTCTCTACGAACCCAACGGAGGTTGAATGGCCATAGTTCGACTATCCAGTAGCGTCCGATTTACGGTCACTGTTCCACCTCTCTTGGACCATACTTCCATATATCGGGTGATAGCCTGGTAAGTATGTCCACGACGGTTCCCTTGGTCCCGTTGGTCCGTTCGAACCGCCTGGCACTGGACCTTCGTGCCATGGGGGGTGGTCATCTGTAGCAGTTGCCCCACCCGCGCGCCATTGGGCACTTTGACCTCAAGCCGAGAGACTTGGTACGAAGAAGGAAGGACCAGAACTGGCCAATGAGAATGGCCACTTCAAAAGACACTTCTACAGGTGCGCCTGTAGAAGAAGCGTCTTGCGACGGGGTCTAATTATCTCTGAGAGCGGGTTGTTGACTTCTAGGGGTGCAGCTTCTACCAGTGGGTCTGTAGAAGACTCACTCTCACACTACTGAAAGAAGCGGCACCCGATTCTTGAGCTACGCTGGATTCAAGTGCTCCCGAGCCGCCACCATGCTACCCATCCTTGGCCGAGTGCAGGATGAATCAGGGGATGTGCTCACGTGCATGGAACCCATGTACGTTTAACTACATTTCAGGGAGAAAGCCATTCTATTCCAAGTGTTGGTTCAAGACTCTCTCGTAGTGCAGATTGCATCAAACTGCACTTGTCCATGAGAATGAGAATGAGTCTATGTTCCATGATGAAGTACCTGTACGTTCTCTATTCCAAAATCAACAACCAGGGAGACTGTGCTACGAATTTGACGGCCAAGTCAAACGCCGTCGGTTTCATCTTCTGCCAAACAACGTGACGTCAAGAAACCCAAAGGACGTGGATAACGCTGTACCCTAAACTCGATCTATGTATGGTGCACATTACTATATATATATACACACTATACACCAGCATTGGGGTGGTTGAATTCCACAGGGCCAAAAGACGGCCGTCTATCTATTCCAGATCCCAGTCAGTTCAACGGGTCATAATGACTCTTGATGGGTCCAACCCCGGCATTTGTTTTAAACATCTTCATACAAAGAGAGGTTTTCTTAATCAACAGCCTACATGAGCCCCCAAGTTAATCTTTCTACAGTACAACTAATACACCTTCCCCCCATCTACCTATACAAGTCTACGGACTACTATATACAGACTTATACAGACTTTTAAGATAAAAACATGATTAAAAAAAACACATCCACCTGTATAAGACCACCACCGGCTCCACCTGACAGTCCACCTAAAAAAAAGACACTGACAGTTCTACAGCCTCCACCTGACCACCACCGGCTCCTTCTTCGGCCAGCGTCGGCACCGGCGCCGTCACTGGTGGCAGGGACCCGCCGGTGGGCGGCGCTGAGGCCGCATGGGTGCCGACCGAGGTATGGACCTGCCGGAGGGATCGGGCGGAGGTGTCCTGGCTGGACTACCCCACACTACCTAACAGGCTTCCTATTCCAGGGCACCCCACGGTGGAGAAGGTCCTTACATATATACTTGCTAGTTGTATTTTCATGTGGTTGCGCTGGTAGCCCTGGCGACTTTGTTTGATGTGTTTTCTCGGATGGCCTTTAGTTTTGCAGGTTTAGCATGGTATGATGGTCGGACTGGACCTGTAACGAAGACCCAACTGCGGGGGCGGTTCATGGGGATGAGTTCTTCTAAATGGGAGAATTAAGAGGTGACCATATGACATGGGATTGCTCTTGATGGGGATAGGTTTTTCTAAATGGGATTGCTTTTGATGTTTCCTGTTTCCTTGCCAGGACCTTTCAAGGGTTGTCTATGAACAGCACCAAAAAGAGTTGATTCAGGGTGTCCATCCGTCAGGGTCCTGGGAATGGGGGTCGATTGGGCAGCTTCAAGTGAGTGGCCACTACAGACGTGGTTGGTGGACGAAGATGTACCAAGATACGATATGAGTCAGTGGGCTCAATTGTCTCAAGCAAAGGTTGAATATGGAGTCTGGAGAGACCCAAACCACATGGAGAGTCAAAGACCACCAAAGACCACCACCACCGCCACCACCACCACCACGACCCAAAGACCCACATGGAGAGTCAGGGGTCACGGCTTCTGAAGGAACCGATGCCCGGCTGTGACACTTCATTTGAGAACAAGAACACTAGTTGTGATATTGATATGATATGCAGAACCTCAAAACATAAAACATATCAAGTAGCAAAGCTTTTATAGCATATAGGCATGTGACCCTTTCTGATCTCCAACAATCCATCCGAGAAGGTAGGAATCTGGATCAGCCGAGGTGGCTGCCGGTGGCTGCCAACTCATGGAACTCCACTGTGCTTCGTTGCTGAATTGCTACTCGGGAGAACGGCGCTCTCAGCTCTGCCATCTGCCGGTTTCCTGCCTGGAATTGGATGCTCGAGCTGGTGCTTGTTGCGCAGCCCATGTCTTCGCCCCCGCCGTGCGGCGCTGTGCGAAGCTGCGAAGCGTCTCGCCGCGCAGGATACGCGGCTCGAGCCGGGCGCGGCAGGCACTGCACGTTGGAGTGACGGTGAATCCAGCAAATGTTGAAAGGTCTTTGGATCCCAAAACCAGGGGAGGAGGATGGAGGCTCTTAAGTCTACCTGGTGGCATGTGTGCCTTTGAAATCATATCAAGTCACTGTAGGTCTGCATCAAGGTTGGGGAACAGCTGCTCCCTCAGTGCTTCCACAACATGAACTATATATCGAAACTCGCAGCTGCCAGGTGGCTACTCTTTGCAGCAGTGATCCTCAACTACCCACTCTGGCGGCATCTTCTGTGGGGGTCACATCCTGGAAACCATGCCATCCAAAGCTGAAGCTGTGCTATGTCGTTGGGCCACGGCACCGCCTACCCGATCAGAGGGTGGCCCCATGTCCGATCCGACTCACAAGGCACCCAGTGGCTGGTAGCATTGAAGCCCACTCATGGGACCGGCTTAACATACATTGGGGTGGTGGATTTCAGTGGTCAATGTAGGTAAATAACCATTCCTGCAACAATCACGGAAGTGGAGTGAACCCCCCTGTTTGTATAGGAAAATGGGTGAACATGGTCTTTCCAGCACCTATGCCATCAACGTGGCCATGATTGGGGCAGGGATGGTAAACCTACAGTATGTAAACCTTCCAGTTCGGTTGTGTCTGGGTTGGTGAAAACAATGCCCAGAGGATCCATGGTGGCGTAAATCTGGCCTACATTCACCACCAAAATCCGCCAAATGTACGCAACATTTGCTTACACGGATCGTTTGGATGTGCAATGGCGATGCCCATCCTCACCTGACACGATGCTTGCGCTCCCCGACTCGGCACTGGTCATTCCAAGCCCATCCTGGCCAGTCCGATCGGTCGGCACCGCAGTCAGAAGCCACGGTCGGGCCCAGTCCGCAACAAAAACCAGGATGAACCAGGGTTTGAGAGCAGGGAATATCCCCCTTGTGTTATCACCAGGTTCCCTAGGCACCCTGAAAACTCGGGTAGCAAGGGCTATAGGGAATGCTCAGTGAAATATGTGAAATCGTCTCGTTCTTCAGGTGGATCGATCAGTCCGGAGATCACACAGATCGATCACTTCTTGCGCTGCCTTTCCTTCTCTCTTTGTGACCCCAAAACTTGGGCATCAATTGGCTGCTCGATTTCCATACCCAAAGGATTCATGTAAATGTACAGGAACCTGACAAAGTCATCCCCCAGTCATCCCTGGTCACTGTTTCAATGCCAAATCACAATGGCAACGCTGTTTCCAAAAAGTCATCCCCTTGCACCCCCGAACCCCAATGGAACGCTGATACCCAAACAACACTTATCACCCAAAAAGTAAACCCAAAGAGTGCAAAAACCAATGGAACGCTAGTTCCAAAAGAGTGTGGTTTTGATTGATTTACATACGTTTACTGCACACCAATCCCAATGGAACGCTGTAGAAATTGTTTGTAGACAAAACAAAGTCTGTGGCCACATAACCAGGGGGGCTAAGGATATCTACTGTATGATACTGTATGTATATGGGGAATGCTCCAGACAGCTCCTCCATGAAAGCCAAAAGGCTGCGATGTGATGGAATTCACCGGCACTGCGGCACAACTCTCATGTGCTTCACAATTCGTTCCCGAACAACGCTCTAAAAAGGAGGTGATGCTCAAACATGCTCTGGGATTTGTGGACACAGGGAATGACAGTCATTCGCCACATGAGATAGTTTTTCTGATTTCGCCATATGTTCCAAAACTCCTGTCTCACTTCTGGATAGTATAATCTTTCTAAATTTTGTGGAAATGACCTGTGAGCCCAAGCTCTCTCCACTTTTTTTCCGTGCAAAATCTGTGCGTGTCAGTTTTTGGGTTTGGGAGGTTTGGCGAACCGGTTGGACCGAGTCGAAGACCATGCAAAGAGCCATGCTTTTCTGGCTTGCTTGCTGCCTAGCACATGGAACTCTGACCGTAACTATGGTTGGAGCATAGCTCTCTGGATGTAGGCAACTGGTGAACCTTCAACAGTAGTCCCTAGGATGACCCAAAAAGAACACATATCATATCATATCATATACAGCACCGGTGCATCAACAGCAGGCGAACCTGAGTATATTAACAACTTTCCAACCAACAGAGTTCGCTTGTGTTTGGGAAAAGACGACTTCAAGATCATTTAAGTACATTCACATGAATTCACCACCAAAAACCACCCCACTATGTATGCGATCTTTGCGCCACCATGGATCGTTTGGGAGACCGTTGCACGCGCCACCACGGGTGTGTCTTGATGGTTGGCTCATCTTTGTAGGTGAATTCGGGATTGGTTTCAGAGCGCTCCGAAACCAATGTGATGATCCCTAAGGGTCAGACGACCCTCCGATCTCGGAGGTCCAGACCGACCCCCCCGGCAACGAGAAAAGCAACGACCTGCATAGTTTTGCACTGCCACTCACCGACCATCCGACCATCCGAAGTACGGAGGTACCTGGAACCCTATGGGGATGAGATGAGACTCAGCCCCCTTTTCTCTCAGACATCTGGGTGGGGGATGTAGTCTTGGCATCTATGGCATGTCCGGGGCATATTCCAGTTCCCCTCAGGTACGTGTCATAAGGGTTAGCAGGTTCGAATTCTGTTTCCTTATTGCTACCGTCATTTTACTTCGGTGCTCTCAAACGGTCCTGTCTACCTAGCCCCAAGAAGAACGCCAGGCATCCAAGCATTCTGAAGCTTCTAAAGCCCAAAAGCGGCTTAGTCCAAACCACTTCCTGTCGTCATCCTGAACCGCTCTGCTTCAGCCGCAGGCGTGGCTGCCGTGCCTCAAAGCATCGTGTCTGCCCTGCAAGAGGTTGATATCTTCCTCTGGGACACCTGGCCGACCGTGCAGCCGTGCAAAACAAAACAGACCAGGAGTCACAAGACGGGGTGATTTTTAGTCCCATCCAGTGAGTGGAGTAGCTGGGCACCCCTGGCAACCCGTCCTGGAAAGTCCTTCTTTCTGGTATCAGCTCTGGGGAATTTGGGATTTCAAGCACCTGACTGTCAGCGACATTCCGAGAACAAGTAGCATATTGACCGGCCACTTGCAAGCGCGGCGTGCAACTTGCTGGCGGTATGCTTGGTCCCCTGGTGGTTTTCTGGCATGTTTGCAAATGGGCTAATGTTTTTCCTTGTTTTTTTGTTTAATCTCCAGGCGTTGACAGTGCGTCCTTTTTCGTTTTGGTCTGCGTTGTCGTTGGTTCACATGACTGATCTCCCCTCAAATTTTTAAAAGTTGCTGTGGTAACTATATTCCTTTGCGAACAGGATGGTTTCCACTCCCATATATTAGTGAGTCGGAGTGTATCAATCCTTCATTAGCAGGGTCTCGTAGGCACAATTGGATTGAAATTTGGTAATCGTTCGCGAACTGGGCATCAGTCATGGTTGGGGGTTTCAAGCTAACAGCAGAAATTGGAAGACTTCTCCAGCTGATAATCTGGCTTCTGGATATGTGAGGAAGACCGTAGAGTGCAGGCATTCCTAAATAGTTTGTCCTTCCGCCTTCCTGCAGCACCGACTTGAACTATTTAGGAATTGAATCAAAGGAATTCAATCCCTATGGATCCATACACCTTCTCAGAAGGCAATTGGACCCTCCTGGCGCCTACATAAATAGTCTCCAATCACCTTCTCAGAAGGTATGTGGATCCATAGGGAATGGTGTCAAAATTAACCACTGAATCAACACAACGCACCGACTTGAACTGGCAAACTTGCTCGGCTGTGCTCTTCACAACGGTGGTTGTTGTTGAAGAAGCCCGGAGGGCACTCCTTGCAAACCTCAGGTGGCAACTGCTTAGAAAGCAAAATCAAAACCTGATTCGATTTACCTTAAACCTGATCATGCTTGACCAAACATATGCATACCGCACCCAAACTCATGTTGTTGATGTGCTCTACATCCTACAGTATCTACTTGAAGTTGGTCGTAAGTTAAGACCGTTCCTGCTCACGTCAGCAGAATTTCAGCCGAGGAACGCCGCCGGTGGAATTCGTCGTGCCTGCTGGACATGACTCGCACCTGTTGGATCAAGAGGCACAGCAAGGCTTGTTGCTACCAATCCACAACGCTGACACTGAATGCGGCTGGCACATATTCCTACATTGAGGTGGTTTAGGGGATGGTTTAGTTTAAGGGACCCATCTGGTACATGGATGGGGTCTGGGTAGTGTGGTAGACTGCCTGTTTCCTGTCAGGCATGTTCTGAGGAAAACATGTTGGGGGTATGACCTGTGAAGACCATGAACCACGCTGCCTCTGCAAATGGCACTGGTGGGATGCTAACCCGCTCGAATACAGTAACACCATCAAAAAAGCATGTGTTAACATAGGAAGGTCTCTCCATTTCGACCCATTGGCAGAAGGAAAATAGACCAGTCTACCCATTGGTTGGGTGAGGTTGGGTTTTCCCCTATTCAAACAAATACACACCCAATGTCTCTCCTTCCGATCCTCCCAAACTCACCTGGAGGCTCCAAACAAGCTGAAATGGCCTGGGCGACCGTTGTTCAAGGAGTGTCGCTACCAGACCATGCCGTGATGTCTACAAGACCATGCTCTACTGTTGCAGCAGCTTCCAGCAATGGTCAGGACCGCCAATCAATCGTGAAGCGCAAAAGAAACTCGTTTGCGCCCAGCGGCCAGGCGGGCAAGCCTCACAAGCCCTCGCACCCTCCGGTGCATAGAAACCTCATGGCAGGGCCATCTCAGGTTGAGAGAGTAAACTTTGATGTGCCGTTGGTTCTTTCCCCGAATTGGTTGAAGGGAAGTCGGAAACCATTGTTTTCACACCCCAAACGGTTGGTTTCCTGTCAGTTTTCCCTTCCAAACAAGACCCTTAAAAATTATAGTAATTTATTGATCTATAATATGTATGTCATATGTCTTAATTATGTTAGCTCAGTCGAGAGCCCAAAAGATTACACGGGCCTCTTGATCAAAGGGTATCCCCTGGCTCCAAACACAACCTCAGAAGGTATAGATATACCCACCAAAAGCGCCCACCCCAACCACCTTCGAAACGGAAGGCAGTCGGAGCCCAAACGGGTAAGCATATCCAAGCCTAGAGCCCAAACATGACCACTGCTTTCATAGGAAAGAACTCCATGTGGTTTGGTGGTTGGTTCTCCAAAATAGAAGTCACTCAGGGTCATCCTCAGGGTAACTCAGGGTCATCAGGAGTGTTGGCGCTCTGGTGAGGAGATGGCATAAAGACTGCCACCTGGGTCGCGTCACGGCCACCGATCTCCAAAGCTTCCCCGCCGGGCTCGCAGGGTACACATGACTGCCTTGTTCGGCGCGACACGCGCGCTGCAAACGATGAGAGTACCGGGATCAAATTATAAACTGGGGTTCTTCACATTTGGCTGAACTTAGTAATTGTATGGTACATCTGGGCGACGGCGTGGGGATCGAAAGCTCTGTATTTCAGATATTTCAGCATCAATTTCCATTGGCTGCGCTGGGACACACAACTTGTATGAACCTCCACGAGTTAAACTATCACACACACACACAACAAACAAACTCAAACAAACTTGTGCACGATTTATCTATATATATATATACAAACAACATACAAATAGAAGAAGCCACTCCAGCACCACCCATATCAGCTGGTGGTCTTGGGCTGGAAAATGGGATCAAACCATCCTCAGGGCTCCTGGGTGTACTGGCTTGGGTCGCCTTCTCCCCACTCAGGTCCCTGACGCGCCAGAACTGGCTGCAGCAGACCCCGCGGCGCAGGGGCGGCAGGCGGCGGAGGCCCTGGCAGATCTGATCTGTCGGGTGATCTTGCAGGGACGGTGGCGATCTTGAAAAAAACGATTCCATCTTACATATACAGTAGAGAAATATTATATACAGTAAATATATAGCAATTCTGGAACACATATGAACAAACTATACACATTCCATCATATTCTCCAAGTATGGGGACTCACTCCTGAGGAACATAGTCACACGATCCGCAACACCAAGGCGGTCCAAGGAGATGCCAAGCTGAACGGTGCGCGCTACGCCGGTCGATTCGATAAGCTTGTTAAAGCGTGAGCCGCTTGCGAGCGCTGTTTCCAACGACACCCGCAAAACTGAGTTTGTACCCACAAAAGTATACCAGGACCCGACTCTACAGGTCACCAATTGAGATTAGGGTCCAACAACCCTCAACTAACAGCCTGGCCAGGAGGGTGCTGGTAGGAACCGTATCCGGTAATAACATGTAGTAACTGGAGGTAGATGGTATCCGGGAGCAAGAGTTCATCCCCATCACAAAATAACCCTATAAGGGACTCTCATATATATATATATATATACTCAAACTCACTCTGACATCGAAGCCAATCGTTTGGTCTCTTGCTGCTTTTCGATCAAACCCACTGATTGTATGTTAAACCCCCATGAACTCCCACAATCCGGAGCTGAAAAAGAGTCAGACTCCGTCAAAGGCCAGGTCAGGTTGGCGCGTGGCTAAAGTGTCCCGGAGCACATGGCTCACAGCGATGACTAGGTATGGCCTGGGGCGTGACCAACGTGTGAGGTTGAGTGAGACTCGGAGGCCCAGCAAAACCACTGCAACGACCGAGGGTAAGACAGGTAAGAAGGACAAAAGGTAAGAAGGCCGTGAGGCCCAGCATTGATTTGCAGCCCTAGCCTTCTGAGAAGGTGTTTGTGGTGGGTTTGGAGGGTCCAGTCATACCTTCTGAGGAGGTACTTGGAGGCCTAGGGCAGTATCCTTGTACAGCTGTCACTCTGGAATTCACATGTGGCCCACTTGGGCCGGCATGAGACCCTAGCATTGAGGGCAAGTTACAGGCCTGTCAGCTTTGGCACAAAAAATCCACCTCGGCCCGCTCCTGCACCCTCCAATTTCTTTATCATCGTGTGGCAAATCCAAATCATAGAGGATGTGATGCGCTGACCCTGTTCAACCATCGAAAACCTCAACCTGAGATTCACCCGATTCACCGACATGCGTCTCACGTTGACCGCACATACCGCACTCCGATGTTTCTCGCACTCCGCCATGTTCCGCTGCGAGCTGGAGCTGGAGCGGAGTCCGGACGCCTCCGGCTGCGAGTGGATGGACCCCAGAAGATGGATGTGTCCAAGCTGCTGAACTCACGCCAAATCAGGGATCTTCTTTTCATCGTGGTGGTACCCAGCATCAAGGCTTGGAAGAGACGGTGACAACATTGTTTTGTATTAGAATTAGGTGCCCCAAAGAGGCATAACATGCTATAATTCGATAGAACCTGGTTGAAGATCCGCTCGATTTTTTAATGGCTTTTGGGGGGTTGCCAAGAATGTTCCATGGGATTTGAGCCAAGAGTTCTATAAGAGAGGCAACATCTACCCGAAGAGGCACCCCAGCAGTGGTCCCCGGGCCCCCCCCATCGACATGAGCTTTTGGGCTTGTCTAGGACAGCCGAAAAGCTCTCTGAGGAGGGTCTATCCAGGGCCATGTTTTGTTGATGTTTGTCATGAGCCTGACTTGATGAATGACACTGAATTGAATGATTGAATCACAAAACCCCAAACGCTCAAAACGACTAAAATTCACCTGATGATCTGATGATCTACTTCCTCAAACGCACCATAAAACCCAACCTGTATAAGGCCCGTGCTACATGCCCCAACCATGCCAACCAACCTTTATAATGACATTATGTAACAATTCCAAGCCATCCGACCTTGACCAACCTCATGTGCCACCCGCCCCACGCGCCAACCTCACGCGCTCTCGCCACTCTCTGGTTCGATCTTGCGGCTTTTGGGCGCCGACTCCTGCGAGCGTAGCCCCACGCGTGCGCGATGATCTGACATACCGACCCCTAGGAATGCCAGCTCTTGATTATATATATATAATAAATACACCCCGCCCCAAGACATGGATGTTAAAGAATCACCTCTTAATGATGGGTGTTATATGGTTTTATGAATCAAGAGTCTACACTATAGGAATGAACCCTGGATCTTTTGTGTCCTCAAAGCTCCAAAACATCCAAGTTGAGATCTCAAAACCATGCCCCTCGAAAGAAGGTCATAGTCCATGTTCACGTCCAGGAGTACGTCTTGGCTTAGAAAGTGAGCTTTGGTCGCCTTGAGGGGGTGTCGTACTCAGTACTCTGCACTGCGCCACTGAACCAAAGTGAAGGTATCCAAGGGACAAGGACTGTGTATTGGACACGCGTTTTCGAGATCACAAGTAGAGTCAAACGGGCAAGCAGGGTCAAACAGCGAGAACACATCTAATATCATCTAATTAACAAGAAAGAACGTGCAAACTAAAGTACACGGAGGAACTGCACAAGATCCTCTGTGCAAACCTCCTTAGCTTCTCCAATGAACTGCACACCTTCTTATGAGTCCATTTTCAGCCTACCATGAAAAGAGCTCGGTTGACCTATGCCTATGGCTGGTCGTGTTTTTTCCACCGGTACAACCATGATTGTTCGGAATTCAACCATGTTAAAAGCTAATATCTTAAATTCTGAGCCAGGAAGCCTAGCCCATTGGAACCAGGGATTCAAGGTCTATGGTTTTGGTCTTTGGAACCACTGGTTACCTACTATAGCATATAGTGGTTTGCCTGGTTCCTGGGTATATTCCACTCATCCACAAACCGGGCGAGATGGATGACACATCTCATGACCCATCTGCACGAGATGGTCTTATGACTGCTCATTTTGCATCGATATCGCACACGGCACGGGATACACATAGACACATATACACATTGCATTGCATTGAGCCTGATTGGCATGGATGGAGTCTCCTACACCATCCTAGAACTGACCCTCCGAGTCCCTCCGAGCTTGGTGTCAATTGCACTGTCAATTGCATATCACCATGTCACCAAGTCCTTTGAATCTTGGTCCGAACCCTGTTCTGGTCTTCCAACCCCACCACATGGTTCCACCAACCGATGTATCAATTTAGCTCCCGGGGTCAGGGAACTCCCTGGCTCCTTCGCTCCTGTGGCTCCTCCCTGTTGAGTGGGAAGAGTTGGAGGTTTCCTCCCGGCTCAAGAGGTTCCCCAAACCTTGGTGTCCTGGCCTCGCTCACCTCGGTCTCCAAGGGACGCTTGGTGTCCTGCACTGTCCCGGTGCATGAGACATGACCAACGAAAGCACAGCCTGGTTGGCTGGGATTGCCATGAGCCTCAAAGGACGGTATATAACGTGTGTAGTGTATTCTCTCTTTTTTCGGGGGGTGACTGCCTGTCACATGACACCTAGGCCATCCTAGGCCTGTGGATGTCAAGCGGTGGCCTCTTCCTTCGTAACAAGAGATTCGATGGGTCACCGCGCTTCCTGTCCGACCTGCAGAGGGCGGGTGGTCCAAGCCAACCGGGGCCATGCTGTTGTGCTTGAAATGACATCGGTCCCCCCTCAGTAGGCCAACCTTCTGAGCAGCTCAGCAGAACAGCGTCGTGGATGGACCATGTCTCGCAACTGGAAGCCTATACCACACCCCCGAATGCCATCCTCAGGAGTCCTTCTTTTCAAACTCATTCAATCAACATCTGGAATTTGCTGGATTCAGGAGCCGAGGAGAAATACGAGAATCATATTCTCCAGAAGAGGAGAATAACCATAGGGAAAATCACATCACCCTCATGTTCAGGAGATCCTCGAACTCTTGGGGTGCATTCCGAGAAAACGGTGCTTTCCTGCAGCAAAAACCAAGAACCGATTTCCCGGAGCGAAGGTCAGTTTCACCACATGCGTCCTCGAAGGCAAAATCCTTGTAGAAGACCGTCGTGTGGGCACGTGTGGGGTACCTTTGGGGAAGCAGGTCGAAGATCGAAGCATGAAATAGCCAATCTGCATTTTCTTCATGGAGTGGAACAAAGGGACCGCAAATGTCGGTGAGTCACCATGCACATGTGGGAATGGCATACAGTTTCGTGCGCCATAGGCCCTGGTGTTCAAATCCATGGGACAGAAATCGCGTGGAACCAATGACCCAGCGTGGGGCACTTGCTCTGGTCATGCGGTTCACCTTAGTCGACTGAGATTGCCAAGAGAAAAGGAATTTGGATGGATTTGGAGATAAACCCTTTAAGGACATGGGCCGGGCAGTGTAGTAATTATAGTAACTATCTGCAACCCAAGTTTCCAAGAGCCTCTCAAGTGAGACACTGAGACGGACTCATGAACTCATGAACAAATCAGCCAACATCATCAAGGGGTTGGAGAACTGTCCGTGGTCGCTCCAAAGAGCTTCCTGTGTCGAACACATCACCTTCTCAGAGGGTATGTGGATCGATACAGGACTCGTTGAGTAAGCTCATATTGGTTCAACCTTTCTTAGCTCAACATCTCGTCCAAGGCACCGAAGGCCGTGCAGATTTGGGCCATGGACTTGGTGGCCGACAGCTCTCGATTGAAGACCTGACGAGACTCGACGTCGTGGAACACCCGCGCCGCGAGACTCGACGGTCTAAAGCAGCGCATGGACTCCCAACAAAGCGAGGACTCCTCGAACCTGAGGTGCCTTGAAGCAAGGCTTCCAACTCAATGACGTTGATGGTGTGACTTCTGCGAACCAAGATGAAGAGAAGAACAATCTTCCCTGAAACCCTGACCCAGGAAGCCTGAAACAAAACTGAAACGAAACAAGGGGTCTGGCGGCCAGCGGCCCCTGGGGAAGGTAAACAGTGAAAGGAACCCTCCAACAAAAACCAGGCCAAGAGCTCAGAGGCCCTGGAGAAATGGCCAACTGAATGTTGACGGAACAGTGTTCTGAAGCAAAAGAAAGCGAAGCGGTTGGTGCCTCCTCTGCTTGGTTTCGAGCAAGTGAAATGACCGCTCTCAGCAGGGTCCTCTCCTCTCAGCACGACCGAGAACGCGCGAGACCCGACGCCAAGCAACCTTCATGCTGATGCCATTGAAGGAAGTCGGCACTGTCACTCCGGTTCCTCGGCGTTCAAAACAATATTGTTAGACCCTATAGGGCTTCAACTACCTCCTGAGAAGATGGTTATGGTGGGTTTGGGGGGTCTAACCACCTTCTGAGGATATGGTTGGAGCCCTAGGGCCCTAGGGAGAATGAATATGGTGAGCAGATCTTGCTTCTTGCTGTGGCCAGGTTGGAAGATTGGAAGCAAATGGTGGTCTCCTGGAAAGCTCACTGGCAAATGTTAACACGGTATCCCTGCCAGCGGGTCATCTGGACGGGACATAACAGGGACCCTAATGATTCTTATCTCTCATGTTGAAGAACTCCCGAGGAGAGATACTATTTATCATCTACATTCATCTACAGTATTATCCTATTGTCAATCACTTGCACACTTCCCAGCTTACCACTTCCAGCTCTTTCCTGAAGAGCTGCCGCCTGCCAGCATCTGCGAGAGGACCCACTTGGTGTTCTGATAGGTGGAGTTGGTGGCCACGGCTGAGCGCACGTAGGACTTCACCATGTCCTTGCTAAATGGGACCAGGCGGCTATTGGTGAGAAAGACCAATCAACCCCCCTTGGAATGCACGCCTAGAACGCAAAAATAAGC